GCTGGCGCTGCTGGCCGCGCTCGGCGCCCTCCCGGGCGCGCCTGCCCTCGACCCGCAGCAAGGCAACGCCACCGCCGCCGCCCGCCCGGCGCGCTCCGGCGGCACGGCAGCGCCCGGCGGGGCGGCGGGAGGAGGGGAGCCGGGCTCGCCCCTCTCCGCGCGCCCCCCGCCTTCGCTCCCGCCGCCGCCGCCGCCTCTTTCGCCTGCGCCTTCGCCTGCGCCTTCCCCCGCGCCGCAGCGCGGAGGAGCGGAGGAGGAGGAGGGCGAGGAAGGCAACGAGCTGAGCGCCTGGACGGCGGCGCAGGCAGCCAACGCTTCGTGGGTCCGGCCGACCCTGCTCCCGCCCCCGCCCCCGGACGCCGCCGGGCCCACGGGGCCGGAGAGCGGGCGCAGCCCCGCGGGCTCCGACAGCCCTGCCCCCAGCACCGCCTGGCCAACGCCGCCGGCGCCCTCGCCGCTGCCTGCCTCCCGGTCACCCCCGGCCACCAGCCCTCTGCCCACGGCCGTGCCCCCCTCGCCTGCGGAGGAGGAGGGAGAGGAGGAGGAAGACTCGATCGGACACAGCGGCACAGGTGGGTGGTTTCTTACCATGGCGACTTTCGTGCTCTCGTCCATTCATTTGGGTTCTCATTAACCCATGGTTTGTTGCTGGAAGTTGTCTGAACCCAGTCATGCAAGCCATGGACAGCCCAGGAAGAGGGCCTGTAGTTCTCGCCTTGAACTGTGGGTTGCTAGCCATGGCTTGTTTCAGAATGGTGCTTTTGCTTGGTTGTTGCCTGCAGCAACACCCCGGGCCGTGGATTGGCCCAGCTTGCACCCCTCAGCATGGCGATGGGGTTGTCCGAACCCAGCTACGCAAACCACGAACCCTTGGCTTGCGACTGGTTTGTGAACTGTGGGTGACTCGCCATGGCTGCTACCTCATCTGGGTTCAGACAGACTCAGGTTTCCACAATGGCCCATGGCTGAGAGGCAAACCACAGGACTGTCTTGAACCCAGCCCGGTGCATTCTGGGTGTTCATTCTCTTCTGTCAATCCAGCATTCATCCTTGGAGCCTGTACCCCGCCCTACCCTCATTGTCCCCTAAGGCCCTGGTATCCCACTCTATGCTTTCAGCCCCCTGTGCCCCCCCCCCCCAGCTGCTGGGCCAAGGTCTAGCATTTCTGAGGGCCTCGGGGCAATTGGGAGAATTTGGCTAGTTCGCCCATAGGGCTGCATTAATGTTTTCCCTCGATGATGCAAATTTCTGCCCGTCCGTTTCCTGTTTTCCACAGTGGTGCCTGTGGGTTCGCTGCATCTCGCAGCAATTAGGGGTGGGAAACATGGTGCTTGCTTGTTGTTAAGATTTTTGCCTGCCTGCGCACCGTTTGTTCCCCTCTTGCCGATCCCTGGGGCCAAGCTGGCGGTTGTGTTCCCAGGCCAGGGAGAAAAGGTTATCACCTGCCTTCAAGGCAGAACGGGTGTCCCTTTCGCCATCCCTTCCTCCAGCGGCCTGCCCAGTGTGGGGTGTGATTGTGAAGGACGCCCAGGTGGCAGAGGCCGCCTGACAGCCTTTTGAGGTCAGGGAGCGATATCAAGGCAGCATGCACTTGACTGTCACCTCGCCTCTTCTCTGTGTTTTGACGTTTGTGTGCTTTCCCACCCTCCTCTGGGTACTTCTGGGGTATTTCCCCTATTGCTCGCCTTGCTGCTCAGTCGCATCCCACCCCCTGCAGTCGATGCAACCAATAATGAGCCCCAGTATGTCTTTTTAAATGGACGGTGGCTCTTACCGCGAGGTCCTGAACGGGCGAGAACGTGGCCACTGACCACGCCGTCGAGGTAGCCGAATCTCTAACCACCTCCAAGGGGTCACGTGCTCCTCGTTCCTGTGTGGAATTCAAAGACAAAATCCTACTGAAAAGACAACAGCAGAACTTTGATCTGCCCAATGACCCATGCTCTCTGGGCATTTTACAAACTGCTGTAGAACATAACACAGTGCGAATCATGGAAAGAGTAGCATTCGATCCCAGACAACAAACAGGGAAATAGATAAATATAACAATGTGTACAAACAGCCAGCTGGAAACGGAGGGCGCGTCCTTTGCAGGTTAGACTGGAAAAAGCCCGGCCTGCGGGCAGCTGGGGCCTCTTTTGCTGCCTAAGTCCCCAATATTTCTGTCAAAAAGACTTCTGGTCATTGTTAAGAACTATGTCTGAAACTGGAGTTGAAGAGAATGTAAATGATAATACTATTAGAGGTGGGTAGGACATTATATTTCCAATGAATTGTGTAAGCATGCATTTCTTATATGCCAACTGATATATTGAGTCAGTGTTCTGAGCAAGGCTGCTGGGTTAGGCTCAGTGGCCTTATGGGCCCCTTCTAACTTTACAGTTGAAGTCTGTGAAATAGGAACATACCCCCACTCTCAGGTCTCGCAGAATTTTCGAAAACATGCCTATTACATTTCCTTCCCTTCCTCACAATTCACATCCTTAGAATCTGTCTTCATTTAGGCAACACTAAATTCATATATATTAGAAGACAAGAGCGATCGATTTCAATGTGCAAACAAAAATGGCAGCTACATGTGTTAGGCCCTGGGAATCGCTACAGAGAAGCAGCGAACCAGCTTACTACAGGGCTTCCAGAATGGAGGCTTACAACGGGTTGGATTCCCCAGTCTCCGCTCACCTGCCTCTGAACTCTGGAGCTCACCCACCTCCCGTGTGCTGAGCGAGGCCTGGTGGCAGATAACTTGGCTTCTCCTCTGCCTCGCCCCTGATTTTTATCTGGGTAGCTATTTTGGGTTAAAGTACATGGGAGTTGATCGACTGCATGTACTAATGCAAGCTTTTCGCACATGCTCAGGTGCATGCATGTGTTGGAAGGCAATTTTATGCTGCCAGTTTACAGTGCTGCTGGCTTGGGAGGCTGTGGATCTAAGCCCTGCCTTGAGCTGGCATGGTTATTCCCCCTCTCCACTCCCAGAGGACAGGAAAACTCCTGTCCATACGACTCCTGGTAAGTTTCCATTAAGTGTGCAATTAGCAGTAATTTTCCCTTAAGTGTGAAATTGACAGAACCAGAAACTGTCTGGACTCTGGTTTGGTCAATTTCACATCTTTAAGGCAACAGTGAGGAAGTGGAATAAGTTTTTCTCCCTCTAAGTCCTTTTAGCTTGACTATGATAAATCCGTGCTTTTGGGTCAGGACTACTGATAGGAAGTTGTGCTTGTGTATTTCCTATGATAACTAATTCCCTTTCTTCCCCAGCTAAGCCAGAATGCTAATGTTGGTTGCCTCTGTTTGGAGAGAGGGAAACCCCTATTTATTTTGCGAGCTTGAAGGAGGTGTGAAGTGCGGTCTTTTGGTCTGATGAGAGAGATGTCTGTTTCCTGGGTTGTCAGAGGTGAGGGTTTGGGGTTTTTTTCAAACAAGCTTGCAATGCACGTTCTTTATTGACAACAGTAAGCAATAAAAAAGCCATGGAAAGGGAAAGGGTGTTTCGTCGACAGAACCACAAGGGAACAGACCCTGTTGTTGCAGAAGTATTTGACCTAGTAGGAACCCAACTGCTTGCTTTGGTCTTTTGCCCAGTGCATTTGGATATGTGGCTTAAGGGGACGATTTCAATTTTAGCAGATCCATTTCTGTTTCGTTTTCATTTTCCGAGAAATGTTTGAAGTGGGAAGCGCTCACAGGCCTGCACTCTTGCGCGTCTTTACCTGGGAGTCGATTCCACGGAGCTCTGCGGGACGTGCCGCAGGTGCGAGCAGCAGGACTGCCTTCTCCGTTGCTGGAGAGCTGGATATTTTGGGACACTCCTCTTTGCAGGGCGACAGCAAGGAAGGAAGGGCTCTTTGCATCACACTCCCTCTGTGTGTCTTGGAGAGGCGGGGAGTGCTCTGCAGCTCCACAGCTGCTCTGGTCGGCCTGGTGCCTCCAGATGTTGGGTCTCAGCTCCATTGTCTGGGCGGGAGGGCTGGGGGATGAAGCCCCACATGACCCGGAGGGAAGCTGGGTGGGCAAAGGGTTGTTGTTGTTGTTAGTCGTGAAGTCGTGTCCGACCCATCGCGACCCCATGGACAACCTTCCTCCAGGCCTTTCTGTCCTCCACCATCCCTGGAGTCCACTCAAGCTCACACCCACTGCTTCAGTGACCCCATCCAGCCCCCTCATCCTCTGCCGTCCCCTTCTTTTGCCTTCAGTCGTTCCCACCATCAGGGTCTTCTCCAGGGAGCCCTTCCTTCTCATTAGGTGGCCAAAGTATTTGAGCTTCATCTTCGGTATCTGGCCTTCTAAAGGGCAGTCAGGGTTGATCTCCTCTAGGACTGACCGGTTTGATTGCCTTGCTGTCCAAGGGACTCGCAGGAGTCTCTGCCAGCACCACAATTCACAGGCCCAGCAAAGGGTTAGGGTTTGGCAAAAGTGGCTTTCCAGGCAGGCCTGCTGTGCTTCCCTGACAGGCTCGCCCTTGAATTCAGGGCACATGGCAGCTGTTTTACTTCTGGCTCATGTCACCAGGGACCCGTCTCCCCTGCCCCATTTAGGCCAAGCTTGTATTCCTGGCAGCTGGGTATTTTTTAAAGATAGGGCTGTTTCCGAATAGGTGGAGCACAAGTAAACATGCACTTGAAATGCACATTTTAAAGGCAATCGGAGGATTAATTTTTAAAGACTGACGTACGTAGCTGGTGCTCTGCTTTTCCCCGGGACTTGAAAGCTGTCTCCTGTCCAAGGGACGGAGCAGGTGCATCCCTCTGTTGCATCAGGAGCTCCTTTTTAAAGTGTGCTTAGGAACATGTGCAAACATTGGACTTCTCCCAAAACTGCCAGCGTGTCTTGTGTGACGTTTGGTGACGTCAACAACAGTGTTTAAAGAACCTATAACAATCTCCTACAACCAGATATATGCCAGATGAGTTGGATCGCAACTCCCATCATCATAAGCAGTGCTGACTGGGGAATATGGGGGTTGTAGTCAGGCACATCTGGACGGCTGGCAAATGCTGAGCAGGGCTGTCCTGAGAGGACTTTTTGCGGAGGGTCTCATTCATAAGGTCGCCCTGCATCAGAAATGACTCGATGGCACATCATCCACTGCATTTCTCCCCGCCTGCATTGAGCACATGCAGAGTCAGACAGGAGTTCCCACAGGGGTGGTGGAGTACCAGGTTGCAGAAAGTGTGTGTCTGTGGTGTTGGGTTTGACTAGGGAATCGACGCAAATCCATCGTGGCCTTTGAAGAGCAGAAACGGGTCCAGCCTTAGGGAGAAGAGGAGACGTTCCGCAAGATCGCTGCCGGCAAATGAGCGAACGGCAGCGCGTCTGTGCGTAAGATTCGTTCCGCCTGCTGCGAGGCTATTAAGAAGATCTGGCCCACTTACAAGAGGCCATCTGGATCAAGGAACATTTTCAGTCAGAAGCTTAGGAAGTGATAGGTTATATATAGGTTGCGAGCCAGATTGTGGTGGGCGTCCCTCCGAAGGAAGAGAACAAGGCAGGCTCCAGCTCGGTTGGAAGCGTCTTGCTCCAGGGTCCCAATGACCGTGGGCCTCGTCACCCCATGGCACAAGGCCTC